CTGTTTCATAACTATGTAAACGTCTGGTGGTTATAAAAACTGCAGTCATGTTGATTTTATGTGTCCAAGCAGTATTTCTTACTGTAATTCTTGCAGGTTCAGTGCTTTGTTTAGTCACTGTTGCTCCTGCTTTCTCTGAAGCTTAAGTGCTTAAGTGCTTTCTAAGGGGCAAATAAATGCCAAATCACAGATTAGCCATGGAAGGGAAATTTGCATGGTATTATGGCACCATGCTTGCATTGTGGTAAGAAGTAAGCTGTACTGCATCCATCAATTCTAAGAGCCATAATATTGGTCTTCTCTGGTTTCTGTAATGATTTGTTAAGACATTAGAGGACCTTCTGAAAACTCCACCTTCTGGAAGCAGGTAATTTGTATGAAAACTCCAGTTTTCTACTTAAAACAAACTTCCAGTTTTCATGGGTATAGCAGTGGAGGTGTGATCTCAGTATATCAAACAAGACCAAAACAAAAAGTATCCCCTTTCCCTGCTCCGATACTGACTGAGCATTTAAACCATGTTTTTTTCGTCCTTTAAAAGTATTGCAAACTGCTCCAGAAGTTCTGAATGGCTGAAGTTGGGAGTATTAGGGAAGACATTTTAGATGCTTGCATATTTTCTGAAATTCTGTTCCCACTCCTAGTTTTCCGTATTTCACAATATTTCCACTTATTTTCTTTCCTCAAATTAAGTTCTTACCAACATCTTTTTCACTGTGAGCTTCTCAGTCAAAGTGACTCTGTTCTTAGTCCTTCCAACTTCAAGGATGACTGTTCTGGACATTCAGACTGCTTTCCTTCTCAGTTGTAGTCCTTTGTTTATGAATCTGATAACCTGGTTCCTGTATAGTTCAGATGGTTGTGTTAGGCTGAATTTCTTTGCCAAAGAACATTTACTGGATTTCTCATTAATGAGTATACAATAAATATATTTATGTAGTTGAGAGAAGGGGTTTTTTTTGACGACTAATATAGAAACTTATGTTTATCAGATTCCTTGAATATCTTCTCAGTTTGCTTTTAATTTGTAGTAAAGTTTATGGGCATATTAAAAGTGAAAGTAAGGAACTGTGGTAAAAAATGCCAGCAAGAAACAGGAGAATCTGTAAAAGCATAATGGGCTGTAAATGATAAGGGAAATGGTGGATTCTGTAGATGTTAATTTTGGCTATGTGAAATCCTTTATTTGGTTGGGGATCATGCTTGAAGTTTATATCAGATAAATTGTGAAAGCTGTATTGATATTTAGTGCACATGGGCTTTTTGCAGAGACTGACTTTGACCCCAAGCGTTCTACCACAGTTATGCTAGATTGCTGATGATCTTGTCTTGTTACGTAAAATACTGCATTCTACTATTAGAGTGGAAAATAGTCTGGTGGACAGGACAGTGGGCATGAGTTGGAAGATCCCATGTTTTACACTAGAGGAAAATGCCTGTGGCTATCATAGAGATCATAATAGACAGACCAGAAATAATATATGTAAGTATCTGTAAAGGTGCTGCTTGCCTACAGTTGAAGGGTCAGATCCTTTTGTAATAGGACAACTAACTGCTTTCTAGTGTGGATCTGCCCTGGGACAGCTGTGGGTGTCCACTGAGAAGCACTGTGTGTGTGGGTACAGAGCTGGTTTAGCAGGTATAATGCCTTATCTCTTCTACAGCTAGTACTGAGTGAGTGCTGGAAGGGGGAAGGGCATTAGTTCTTCCATCTCTCTTAGTCCCAGGTGTCATGACATGCTCTTCAGAAGCGTGAGCGAAACAAAATGGCCACAGGAACTGAGGATTTAGAGGGGTTGTCAAAAGCTTCCTTGGAACTTTGATGCCCTGAATCATTTGTTAGGAGTTTCATGGAGCAGATCTGAAGCATTTTTATACATGCTTACTAATGGTTTTATTTAGTGTCTATGTTTCTTTTTTTCCTTATTTTCCAGCTTGCACCCGTTGTTTTATGTTTTCTAAACATAACCCTGAGGTTAAGTGCCAGAGATACCAGTGAGAAGTTACAGCACTAAATAGTACATTTTCTACAGTGCTTGTTGTTGCACTGACAAGGTAGCCTGCACATTTCTAAACTGATGATAAGAAATTGTAAAAAGAAGCTAAAGGTCTACAGTAGCTAAAAACATGGCTTTATTTTCATGCTAGTTATGGAGAAATACTTCTCCCCCTCCCCAGTAAATGCTTTTCAGTTAATATGCCACAGATTCTGGCACCATATAGTTTCTTCCATCATTCTGTTTTCACTTCTGATATAAGACTTGTTATAGAAAATAATTTTGTAATCCATTCATATTTGAAAAAAAATTGGTCCTAAAAGGTGTACCACTTTTTGTCTAACAAATACTGTGCCTTGACACAAATGCCATGCAAAAACATGTCACCACTCTCAAAAGGTTAATTGACATTTCAGGCTGTTGAGTGACTTCTAAGTAAACATAACCATAACCAAGTATGTGTGACATTTTTCTTTCAAGAAAATAGTCAGACCATTTTGAAACCTTAGGCAGTATGTAATTTATTAATCAAAACTTATTCTTATACAACTATGTTTAAAACAGAAAAGAGACATGAATTGTACAGGAAAACAAGTAATTTTAAGGTAAAACAAAATGGAACAAGATTTATGGCTGCTGTTCAGCTATAAACTCAGGCCACTGTGCTGCCATGTATATTGTTTTTGTTCTGAGCCCTATTTGATATTCTGGGATAGATGTGTATTAAAAGTGAAAAAGAAGACAGAAATTTTAATTCTTTATTTTTGGTGGTTTATTCTTCGTGCTACATAGAGTACACTATTCAACAACTTCAGAAAAGCCTTAGAAGTCAGACTTCGTGGGATATTTTTTTTTGTCTCTAGTGGCATTGTTTTATAATGCAGAATAAGCTGCTAGCCTGTCTAAGGCTTAGTTTCCATACTGCTGTAATGAACTGTTGAAGTAGCTGATAGAAAGTCGTTTCTAAATAGAGGAGCACAGGGCTGGAACTTGAGATACTGCAGTACGAAGAGCTGTCATGTTCCAGAGCTTGCTTGCTGTCCCTGTGTTTGACCGTAGTGCCCAGGTGTTCTATCAACAGGTGGTACTGTTCCTGGTTACCTGCTTTGGGCTGCTCCCACTATAACTCAGGATTTAGGTCCTTTTCTGTTGACTGTTACTTAACTGAACTAAACTTTTTCTCTTGACCAAAAAATGAGAGAGTAAGGTAGTATCTTTATGCTCCTGAGAGAACCAAAGTTAATTTCTTTACTAAATTTTACTGAAGTTTGTGGAGAGAAAAATGTTTCTAGCTGTATCATTCTGGTATAGTTATCTGGAAAATATTGGCCAGCACAAAGGCTTAACAGAGTTGTCCATTAGTGTGATTGACTTGAGCATGTACACAGAATCCACTCTGGAGTGTTCTGTACTTTTGGGTGGGAAGGGCAATGCACTGGTACTTTTACCAACCAAGATATAATCAAGTTAGATGAAATCAAAACAGAATTATGATTAAATATTCGTCTGCTTTTATAATTTATAAAACTTTCCTTTAAAGCCTCTTTAATTCATAGGCTGTGGGCATACTGTTACTAAAGCTACGCCTACCACAAAATGAGCTAGACCAGACTTAAGGCATCTTCACCGAGTCCCTTTGTGTTATCTGCATGCTTTCATCAATTTGATTAATATGTAAACTTACTTCTTTTTATCACATGTTGAAGCCCTAATGGGGCTGACCTGCTGAAGTTTCTGTATGCAAAGTCAGTCTGACACTGTCTCTTTCCCTTAACTTTGACCTTGTCTAAACTGGACTGGCAGTGGTGGTTAATATGTCATGATAGTTTTCCTATTGTTTTGCTTAGTCATATGGCTTTCAGTGTTTGTTACATAGTTATATGTATATATATAGTTGTACATATATATTGATGTAGCATACAAAGAAATGTAATGTAACATACATTAATGTGTAAGTGTAGACAGTATGGCTGCAATAAATTTCGAATGTTCTGTCTTGAAGCTGTGCCCATGGAAGACGTTTTTACCACCCTTTGTTATCTTTCATCTAGAGATTACTGTCACTGTAGGATGCAAGGCATATATTGCCATTCACAGTACAGAGCGTCTGGCATGGCTTTATTCTGTTAGTGATTTTATCTGAGCTGTTGGACTGGTAAGAGATTAACTGAGATGTGCCACACTTCAGCTTTTACCTAGTCAGCCAGAATATTTACTAGTGGAGGGGGGACATAGATTAAAAAGAATTTGTGTGTAAATTATCTTTCCAGATGGTAAGAATTTGTATTTTCACTTCTCTTTACTCAGGAAGGCCTCATAGATTATTTAGTGAAAGTCTCGTAATTCTATTCTTGCGTACTCCATTTATGTGTGAGGTATACCTTGATAATGTTTGAATATAATTTTTAATTGATGATTAAAAAGCAATTTAAAATGTATTTTTTTATAACTTTCTATTAAAAATTCTGTTGCTCACATGCTTAGCTGGTTTTTGGCACTTCAGCAGTAGTGATTCAAAAAGCAGAACAGAATTATTTTTGTCATTAACATCTGTATATGGTACAACACGCATGAGTAGATCTGTTGATTAAGAAATTACCATTTTTAGCTAGTTTACCATTTAGTGGTAATTTTTTTCTTTTTCCTGAAAGAAAAAGAAATGTGAAACTAAATCTGCAACTTTGCTGATAAACTTCCACAAGGGGAGAAAACTACTTTATTCTGGATTTTTAGTTCTGTTCTACGGGTTAGTTCCGTCAGATCTGAGGCATGGGAAGGTGCTTTATATTGAGTGGTCATAGGCAGTTTGAATGGTAAATTCGACAAGAGAGAAGCAAATCTCTCTTGGAGTCCAGGAGAATCTGTGGAATGTGCACGGTATACAAGTACTTAATATTTGTAGAGCCAGACACTGTGTTCACTGACACAGACCACTGGCAGTATTGCAAATTGACTTCAGTGCTTCTATGTCATCTGATTGTAGTCTAAATTTGTGTTTTATAGCTTGAGACAATTGGATGGCAGCTTAATCTTCAAATGGCGGAGTCCAGGCAAGCAAAGCTGAAGTCTCCTCAAGCTGTGCTAGAGCTGGGAGTGAGCAATGAAGATTCAAAGGTAAGAAATACCTTGTGCAGAGTTGGAATGAGTTGTGGTGATGGCCTTATGTTAAGGTTCTGAAGCATCTGTTGGAACTCTTGATTATTATTGTTTCGCCAGTGTTTTTGGTTTTATCTTTCATAGAGGTTATAGTAAACACTTGAAATTGTGAAGTACTGATATAATAGCATACATATTCAGTAAACTGAGAGCCATGTTACCTGCAACTTGGGCTGCAACAGGAGAAATACCATGGAATATGGTTATTTTAGGTCTTTACAATATCTTTGTAGATAATTTATTTTTATCACATAGCATGTGATTGGTACTTCTTATGCTTTTAATATCTAGCAACTTGCAGCCTTCTAGCATGTGTGTACTTATGTAAGACATTACTCATCACTTGCAACCTTTCTGTGCTAATGATGTATTTATATGAATGATTACATAGTATGTGAGTCCACAGAAAGCCAGTATTTAGAGGTTTTAAGGTAGAGTCTTAAGTTCAAGCATTTCAGCAAGTGGGGGTGTTTCAGTGCCTAACTTGTAATAATTTTTTATTCACAAAATTAATATCTTTTTTTAGCCAGAGTGTTTCAAATTAGACACATGATTTGCTTTTAACCTTATCTTGCTAATGGAAATTGGAGTCTTTTCTTCTGTGGTGTCTGTCAGAATGTTTATCTATGGAAAATTCAGTACAAGAAGTTTGAAGGGAGAAATCAGAACTCAGTTCTGCTTTCCGATTTGTGGTGAAATAGAATACACGGCTTATGTTTGTGCTTCTCAACAAGACTTGCAACAGTTGTATTTTTTTCAGCATTTGCAATCTGTATTTTTGAAATGCATATACAGGAACCAGACAAATTTTATGCCCAATCTGCATTGGGCAGCACTGCATACAGATTCAGTTCTTGTGGCAAAACAATTTAAAAAAAAATAAAAAGGAAAAAATGTCACTTTTATATGACACAGAAAATTCTTCTGTTTCCTGTACAAGAAGAATTCAGAAAGTGGATTTTTTTGATTGTTTCCTCTCTTTTTCTCTTTGTGGGTATGTTGAGATTCCAAGATCGGAATTGCTTTGTAATAATTGCAAGCCTAGAATAGGTTTGTGACTGGCATTTATGTAAAATGATGCAACCAGAAAACAGTACAGGCACTAAAATTTAAAAATCTGATGTGAAGATAACTACAGGCTTTTTTTCCTGAACATTTACATCCTAGTAAATAAGATTGACTGATATCTGTTTATATACTAACAGAAGTGTGGGAACGTAATTTTTCTGCTGTACGTTGCGTCTCCATGATCTCTGGGTGCACTAAGTATTGTTACCCGAAAATCATCACTGCTAGGTACTTTTTTCTTCTCCTCAAAAATATGTGTGTGCCTTTTGCGTAGAAACGTGGTGTGAATTTAATTTATATATTCTTAATCGTTGTCTTAATTTTTCACTATTTTTTTTTCATAATTCATGGATATAATGAAGGGTTTTTTAGGAAAGAAAAAACGCTGTTACAGAGGAGCTTTTGTGGGCTGGCTCATTAGGGGGCAGTAGTGCTCTTTGTCACGCTGGTGCTTTGCCTTTTTGAGATAATAATCGGTTCTGAAGTCAGTCGTGGGAAGTGTTAAGTGTTTACATTTCTAATCTATATATGACAATAGAAGTTTCTCTTGTTCATCTACAAAACTAAAGGCTATTAATAAAAAACCATGCTAAGCAAGGTAAATGAAATCGGCCGTTATTTTCACTTGTACTAAGTAAAATTAATTATACATTAATGTTTACTACAACTCACACCACTTAAAGAACATTGAAATGGCTCTTATTCAGAAACTGACATTTAAAATTAGTATTTAAATTATCTCTCCAGGAGATGTAATCAGAAAACCTGTGGCTATATGAATGTTATTTGTGCTTTGTGACATAAAAAGAAATCTGCTATATGCTAAATAAATATTTACAGAGTGTATTGAAGCTCAAAAATAAGGTATTCTCCGGTTCTTTTAGGTGTTTCAAGCTGCTAGTGACATTTGCATTACCCAGAGAATATGCTGCTTGTGACTAAGTAATAATTGTGATCAGATCCCATGATTTTTGGGTTTTGCTGGGTTTTGTTACAGATTTGCTGTTTGCTTATACTCAGACCTTGAATTATGCTGGAGTTAGATTCATGTGGGGGTAGATCGGGTGGGCATCCAGACTCTGCCTTCCAGCCCCAGTTGTCCTGTGATCTAGGCTGCTTTGCAGCTTGCTTGATGCTGATGTTTTGTATGAAGAAGAGAAAAAAAAAGGGCTTTCAATTAAAAATCCAATTAACAGCAATTTCGTGCAATGATTCATAATTTGAAATGTTTAATTGGATTTCTAGATCTGAGGAAAGTGAAATGTCTGTGAACTAGGAACATAAACAAACTGGTATAATAGGAAACATATTTTTGAACTGCAAGATACTTTTCCTTCCATTATGACATTTTGATGAGTTTAGGTAACATTTAGAATTGATGTCTGCTGTGTATAAGGTTTGTTTTTAATAATATAATTTGGTTTCTGATTTTTGAACTGTTGATTTGCAACATAATAATCTGGAGACTTTGTACAGACTATCATTATTTTTATGGTTATAGGGTCAATTAACCAGTAGAGGGAGCAGAAATAAATAATCCTGATAATCTGTGCTGTTAATTATTATTTTGATTTGCAAAGACTGATCACAAAAAGTGCTCTGTTTATTTAATATCTGTTTTCTTCAGTAATTCATCTGATAGCTATCTATATAGACACACATTCTCACATTCCTTCCCACTGTTCATAGCAGTAATTCCTTAGTCCAGACCTTTTTAAACAACTGTGATAATATTTTATAGCCATAGGAGCCATATAAATAAATAAATTATAGTAAAGAGGATAGAAAAAGTCAGAGGGCTTCAGAAATGTCGCATCATTTATGCCTAATATTTCTGCAGAAGAATGTGAGGAGTAGGAGTGTGCTCTTGAAGGGTTGCTGGTGTACCTCATCATTGGGAGGATCCAGTAAGGCACATTACTCTATGAGATATTTATTATTGTGACTTTTCACGCGTTGTAACCATTTATGCTTGAAAATCATTAGGATAAATAAATTATTCTTGCCAAGTGTCATCTCTTGATAGTTATCCAATTTTTTTTCTGTAAATCCATTCTACAGATTTCATTAGATTCAGTTATCTAATTGCAGTGGAACAGGCTCCACAGGGAAGTGGTCACAGCACCAAGCCTGACAGAGCTCATGAAGGTTTGGACAACACTCTCAGGCACATGGTGTTTTTCTTGGGGCTTCTTTGAGCTCAGGATGTTCTATGATTCTATGAAAATCAAAATGGGGTCTGATTACATTTGTAACTGCGATCATACATATTCATCATTCTACAGAGCATACAGAAGTCTGGAAATATGAAATTATTATCTTTCACTTGATAAAATAAGGGGACACAGTTTTCTTTTTTTTTTCCTCCTAGGTTCTATAGGCTTTCTATAAATTTTTGGACTGTGAACAAAATCTAAAACTTTTTGCTCTGTTTACTTCAATAAGTATGCCATTCTGCTTTCTGAGTTTGCCATTGTGATTACTTTTCTCATCTTTAACATCATAGCAAAGCAGATGAGAAACAAGTAATTTCTTCTAGCAGAGATAGATCAATCACTTAATTCAGGCTGTAGATTCTGTGCAGCCTGTATGGCATGCATGCAGGACCTGCACTTGGATCGGTATTTAAGGAAATACAGTGGTGCTTCCTCTTCCACCTCAGTTTAGCCCTTTGTTTCTCTTTGAAAAGAATTTGTGTTTGTTAAATGGGATAACAGTGAGAGTTGGTAGATGCTAGTGATATGATCCCACATATGATCCCACTTCTGAGAGGTAGGAGGTGGCAGAAATGAGAACGTACTTCTTTCATTTGCCTTCTCAATCCTCAGCTTTTGAGATGATGCATTTAAGTGCCTTAGGAGTAATTTTTTTCTGTTAGGCCTTGGAAAAAAAAAATACACTGATCAGTAATGATGCTGAAACAACTGTAATGAAGTCCAAGCAACTGTAAATTGTGTCTCACGTTTCTCAGCTACCTCTTAACCACTTTCTTTTCTGATGAGGACATCGCCCTTTTCCTTCTCAGAACACAAACAAGCTTGGTTGTATACCCATGAACTGAGTTTAGTTTTCTCATCAAGCTTATTTCTAAGTCTCTAGGAATTGCAAAAGAAAAGTAGGACAGGCCTTAGATAAATGCAAAATGTTTAAGGATGAGATTGAGAGAATAGGTGTTTTCATTCCTATTTAGAGGACTTAATAGGAGGCCTGGATAGCCTCAGACAGCACAGACCTGGTTCAAAGTTTTTCTGTGCTTCTGAACAAGCAAGGTTGCTGCTTTTGGCAAGGTACCTCATGAAATTAGTTTTGTTGTGAGAATTAAAATCTCATAAATACTGCTGCTAAGAAAGAAGAAACTTCCCTAAGAGCAGGTTTCAGAATATTGAGAAAGCTCATCGTATTTGTAGGAGCTGTGGTAAGAATGTATAATCTTGAATGTGTGGAACAACTCAGAAAAATGAGCCTGAAATTTATAACTTGCTTACAGCAGTCACATTGCTACAGAAAGATGACAGAAATTTAATTGTTCTGCCATGAGAGCCAGAAATTCTGGACTTACAGTGCACAGCAATTCTTGCATTAGACTGTTTGGTTTTGATCTATCATAGCTATTACCTCTGATTAAATCCATTTAATTAGAAGAAAAAAAATTAAGCTGCAGTCCAGAATATTTAAGATGCTGAGAGGACTTTTTTTTGTCCTCTTGCCGGTGTAGAAAGAGACCACAGAGTAACCCATGTTCTGTAAGCTGTGAGTAGTTTGACATTTTACTTAGGAACCATTTACCAGATGGTGTGTCTCCAGGAGTATGCACTCACCTCTGGCAATTGTACTGCAGGGTGTATTTAATTATCTGACTCCATTTGTGATCTTACATTATTTAATTATCT